AAGTCTTGCATTTGGCAAACGAAAGTTTCCTCAAATCTTTAAATGCGAATTCATATGCCCCATCCCAACCAGTGGGAATGATGGTCAAGAATAGCACTCAAACGAGAATTTCGAAAAGACTATTCGTAATCATTATCCATCCCTTTGAAATTTGAGCAACCCTTTTCACATCGTAATTTTTGAAGCATCCATTATCTATGGATTTGCCTTTATTTTTAATGCATGCGATATGTCTGTCGTATCAAAATGCAGAAGCTATTGTAGAAAGCTTCTTAATCTTTAAGCTGTGATCACTCACCGATCCAATGAGCAGGCGTTACATTGAGAATGACATAAAACAGTGGTCCGCCATATACAACACAAACATGTTCGTCAGTCGGGTGATTAAAGATTGACGACGTTTCGACTCGTGTCTCAGGGCCTTCTTCAAGGTGGTCAAGGTTAATTGTTAATGTACGTTCGGCTGTCTGCAGGTGTTGTAGCATTTGGAGTTAAACGGTAGTATTTGGTCCGTTTTGCTCTAATTTGCTTCTCGGCAACAGGCCAACTAGATTTGTCCAAGCCGTGCAAAATGCGTATTACTTTATTTCGGTTGACATTTTCGAAAGACTGCACGATGAATGCTTCTATGATGTGCCTGCTTAGCCAGTTTCTCTCTTTCTTGATGACTGTGCAATTTGATCTTTGAGAAGGTGTCCTTTTATTGATGTGTGCTGTCCAACGTCAGAGGTCATTTCGCATTGTTCTTTGACCTGGATAAGGATGAAGCTTTGTTTTCTTCCCGGATGATATGTTATCAGATGTCGCTTATGTTCGTTCTCAACAGTCCATCTCTTCCAGCTTCAGAGGTTGGTCCTTGCTCATGAAATGACGACGTCCCTTGTTTCTCCTATGTACCATTTTCCCTAATTGCACGGTAATTTTTTGCATCTATTGTCATATTGGAATGACAAAATACCAGCGTCGAGAGTTATTTGCTCTTGGCGATCAGCAGCGCATGCAATGGACACGTCACTGTCAATCTTCCTCTTTCAGTGTGACAGAGAATCGCAACTTCGCTGGGTTGACTCGTAATACTTTACGTGGATTTCAAAAGTACAGATTTGCCAACATGTTGTGTAGCAAATTCTGGAATCGTTCGGCCTTGCTTTGCTACATTTCAGTTAGGGTGCAGCACCTAGGCAGCTTGAGGGCTGAAAAAAAGTAACGGCGCAATCTGTAAAACATGGGCGACATTCGGCTTATAGACGGGTTATTTGGCGAAGGTTGAACATTGCCATTGTATAATCCTCTCTGCCTACAGCAAAGTACTACTTCTGTCGTTACCTGTCTTTACTTTCCAATTTGCGTCAGCGTCTGCAGTGCATAAGATATGACCACAAATCAAGAGGTTTTGGTATTTTTCGCCTTTTCCGTGTAAGTACTCCTAAACAATTGTATGGCTGTTCGAAGAATATATTTCCATATTTAGTTTTGGCCCTCAGGCTGTAACATCCGTAACTGGGTTTCTATGACAGAATCTGATAAACCAGCGATGATATGCCTTTTCAACGCTAATGCGGAACCATTCCGTCGGTTAGAATCGTTCAATGACTGCACTAGAAAATCGTTCAATGACT